TTTTAAAAAAGTTTTTAACTTGGATTTAAAAATAGATAAAATATTACACTCTTTTAAATCATTTGGAAGGCTCTTCCACTCTTTCGAGGCGTGAAAAATAAAAGTTTGTTTACCCCAGTTTGCTCATCTAATGAGCAATAGCGGATTGGGAGGAGGCGAGATTTCCTTTCCCCCATCGCTATAAACAGGAAGACCTTAGATAACAACGACCTCAACCAGGTTGTGACGTCCAGCGGATTTAGTGAAAACAAGGGTTTGGGTGGGGTGCTCAGTCTCGCTGGCTCATAAAACCTACTCTCGGTGGTTCTTATCAAAGGAGCTGTGTCACGAAAATTCAGACAAATTAGGTAATTACAAAATGTCCGTTAAATTAAGAGAAACATAAAAATAACCGCTTAAAACATTAAAGGAAGGTTAAAATAACACAACAGATACAGCAGATGCCACGGATGGGCAGAACTGAAGAAGATTGAAACGGATTGAAATTAGGGTTTTTGAAAACTGCTCAGCCTAACAGTTTTTCAAAGTTGATCACTGCTGTTTGCAACTTCAAAAATAATGCCCAGGAGACATATTTGTTTGTCTTGAATCTCTGATTTTGTCATTTACATGTAATTTCTTTACTTACTTTAAGTTCAATAGCGGTTGAGGGCGAGTAATAGGCAAAATTAATTACAAACAAAATGAACTGGACTGCCGTGACACAGCTCCTTTAAAGCATTTTCCTATAAACAGGGCGCCCACTTCTTTAGTAATGACATTTGAAACCAAGGTGGCCGCTCGTTACAGCAAGCGGTCGATTTTAAGGAAAAATAGGAGACGGTAAACAGTCTAGAAACGAGGCTATTTTTGTGGGCAATTTTTTAACGACACCATGCCCCTACTTCTCTACACTTTTTACCTCTTTGGTTACTAGTTTTAGAAGTTAGAACCGAACCATCCCAGGGTAGGCTTTTAATTTAAAGATTGTGATTGCAAAAGTGGCATGATATGCTACTAGCGCTAGCAGTGCTCTTATATTTCTACAATGATGCCAATAATTATGTTGGTTTTTGTAAATTATGCTCATTTTAACAAAAAATGCAGAAATTGTGCTTCTACTATAAATGGCAAACAAACACTGGAGAAGTCTCAAACAAGTAAAAGAAACTTAAGAAAGTGTAATTCATTTTCTGACAACTTTGGAATGTCAAACGATTTACAACACACCCGGACGCCATCTTGGGCAACTGACCTAGTTTTGCGCATGCGTTGAGTATTGAAGAAAAAAATATCCTCGGTCTCTTTCCGTGGCAAAGAGGTTCCATGAATGTGACAAAACCAGAGAAAAAATTCATTTTTTTACTTAAACGTGCCTGTGACACTGACCTCGGGCCAAAAATATTGGCTGCATGATCAATGACAATTTTAGCCAGAAGTGCAAATTATTCTAGCAGTGCTCATTCTCGTACCCAGAGCCCGTCGTTTCTTGGTCACTTGATCGGGAAACAAGGGGCTCTGGAAGCAGCCGTTACCGGATGTCAGAAAATTTCTGACATCCGGTCGCATGTGCAGAAGTTACAAATATCACTGCTCATGCTCATAACGGGTTTTTGTCCCTCACTGCTCCACTGGGGGAAAAATTTTACTTCCTGAGCTCTCTCCAGAGAGTGGCTTCTTGGGATCTTTTGAAAATGCACCACTTCACTCAACTTGGATTCATTGATAATTTGGAGAATTTGAAGAAGACAGTAACATAAACCGGCTGAACACACTGTTAGTTTGCAGAACTGAGACAATTAATCGGCAGACAATCGTCTGAGTTATGTGAGTTTTTTTTTTCAATTCGTTTGGCGAACAAATACTGGGAAAGCAATATCGCGAAGATCGATATAATGCGGCAAAAAGTCAATCTATAAAGGTATCTTGTTCCATGTCCTGCAACTGCTATGTTACTTCAAAACGCTTTTTGAAACGAAACCATTCATGCGTTGTGTTAGGAGAGTAAAATATATACTTCATTTCACTCGAGCTGGTTGTGTGTTTTCCTATGTTTATTTCCTTTTATTGTGTCGCATGTCGTGGTTTTAATTTTGCCCATGAGCTTTTGTGTACAACACGTGTTAGACAACCGAAGGATTTACGTCGAAACAAATCAATACTAATCATTTTACCGACCCAGGGTAAAAAACATATATTACAAGGTTTGTCCAGGAGAAGTGACAGTCTAATACACCTCCATGGACTGGTTCCATGGGCTTCCATGTATGGCAACTTTATACAGTACTGAGTGAATCAAATTCCAGTTCAGAACTTGAACAAAGGTTTCCTATTAAACCCTAATCATAAAACGTCTAGGTCATTTGGTGTTTATGGTGGTCATTCAGTGTTCTGCTAAAAAGAGTTTATCCTCCCTAAAGATTTCAGGTATCATCTCCTAACTAAAACTCATAATCAGACAGTACCTCAAAGAGAGAGTTTTCAATAATTTTGCTGTCAGACTCAGAAAATCATTAATACCTGAAAAATGTTGATTGTGTAGTGACCTATCACCATAATGTTCAGTACACATGCACGACCAAACCTCAAAACCGCAAAATAATTACCATCGCTCTTTGAGGTTTCGTTTTCTCACCCCTTATTAGCTTTTTCTTTGCAACGCAATAGCATTCCTAAATAATTTTTGGTATTCATGGTTTTGTAACTTTCACAGTTTTGGTGAGCTCTTGTCACCTCTGTTATAGGGGTATAAACAGTTATATGTACTTTTGATTACCGGTTACTGATAAAAAGTGTTTTCCAGGACACTAGTTTAGTGGGAAGTGATGGTAATTATGCAAATGCATCCAGAGAGAAACCTGTTTAAGTATAACTTATGAGCTCATGGGTTACACATCTTTGCAAGGGTTTTGAAGGGTTTTTCTCTTAGGGGAGGGCTTACAACCGGGGGGACATTTTTTCTTGTTCACTGGTAAATTAGGGCCTATAACTGGGGGGCTTATAAGGTGGAGGAAGGCTTAAAAGTAGTAGTTTATGCCTGTGCCAGACATTCAGGTATTGGGGAAGCAAAGAGAACAAAACTAAAAAAACCCTGCTTTTTTTTAATGCTCTACTTCTCACTATCTGAATACCTAGAACGGATTATCATAAGCTATATAGCTGTACTTTCTTATCTGGAACGGTGAAATGTAGAGTGATATATGCACTGTATATAGACTGTATGCTTTAAGAGATCCCCCTGTTAAGAAGTACACTTTGAGTAACACACAACCCAAAAGCATTTTCTTGGGTAGCTGCTCTCATCATGTTTTGAGACTGGACTGCAAGACCTGCAAGGTTTGAAATTGGGGATAGAACTTTGGATCAGGTTAGAAACAGGATAGTGAAAATCACATAGTTTGGTCAAAATTTGGCGAGGCAAGAAGCATACAGTGGGGTGAATCTGAACTGAGTTTTGGGGGATAGTGCCCAATCCCCAATCCCCACCCTCTGCAGTTGTATTGAAACTGAATGTGGTGCTTTATAGAGTTAAAGTACAATATCTGCTCACAGGTTTTGAAAATGTATAATTTTTTAGTTCCCTTAAAATTCATTATTTTGTGTTATAACATGAGGCCTCCAACTAGGAAAAAGGTTTAACCAGATCTGAATCATTGACCAGTGGAAGCAAGTTCCAATTTGGCTCATCATTATTTGTCAATAACCAAGTAAACTCAGATGCCCTATGCTTCAGTAAGCCAATACTGTGTGCAAGCTCAAGGAGGGGTGGAGAGCAGGTGTGGCTAGGATTGGCGAGTAAACTATGATATTACTGTTGATCAAGCTATAATGTTATCCACCCTATCAAAGGTGACATACTGTAAAATCCGGTTGTTGTTATCATCAACAACCACTTACCCCAGTATGATGCAAAATAGACTACTCTAGGCTGTTGTTCATTTATCATTTTATTTATTAACACCTCAGTTGTCCCTGACATCGGCAAAAAATCTAGACCAGTTTTCACATAATGTATGCCTAGTATAAACAGTCAAGTTTTCTTGTATTTTAGAAGTCTTAAACCAAAAAGGTTGAGAACATTGTGCTATTCTATGTAGTGATCAGATAACATAATTATTTATCAAGAAAAATTGTGCAAAAGCTACTTCTTTGTTAACTGTTCATCAGTTATAAATAACCCCAGAGCCCCTTGTTTATCTTTGTCTAAATGCCACACGGCTGGACGCCAAGCAAGGACTGTTAGGATGAGAATATCTTCTTGCAAAACATTTGTAACAAGTCGGCCACATAGCCTTTCCTTTCACAGCCCAATTCTTACTGTTAAATAAAAATTAAAAGAAAGCCTCCGAATTATCTAAGCATGATTTAAGCATTAATTAATTGGAAGAAAACGTGGATTGGAAAGAGTACTTGCTCTATCATCTTTACACAATTAAAAAATTACCTTTCGCATGCAGCCCAAAGTTCATAAGCAATTCAGTTCTGGCTTTGTGCACTGCCATCAGTGTTGTCTAACGAAATAAATAGTTTAACTTACGATGATGACCTCGTGTTCGTTTCAAGATGCGCTCTTCGATTTCTCAAGAAATAATCTGTTTGGAAATTAAGATGAATTACCTGAAGTTAAAGGTCGATGGACGATAAATGTAGCGAAGAAAAATATTTTCTAAGCAATACAACTCATGTCGACTCACGTCGACAAGTCGACTTCAAAACAGGCGAACTGAAGTCGTGGACTGGAGCACAATAGCTTTTACACATGAATACCTTCACGATGGTGCATGCTCGTGACGTAATTTCAAAGCGAACGCCGTCGTCTAAGCTTAATTCCTCTCGTCACTGCGTAAAGTCCCTAGTCGCAGGGAACAGTGCACTGTTACCCTCTGACGTCATAGATTTGCAATGTTGCCAGCTCAGAGATTTTGGCGAGAAACAGTTTCCTCGTTATAGATTTCATGCGACCTGGAAGTAACCAATGAGAGCACGCGCTGTTGGAAAAAATTCTCCAGCTATATAACAATCTAATTTGGCGATGAACATAAAAGTTCTCTCATGGTATCCTTTACAGCTTGCCTTACTTCTCTAATCTTCCAACAGTACAGTAACGGGTTTAAAGAGGAGTTTAGAAGAACTAAGGTACCGGTAAATTCCATTGCATGGTGAAGCGATAGTGGTATCCCTCGCTGATGTTTCAAAGCTTCGGTTATAAGAAACGGCAGGTAAGAAACAACCAATGTCATCTGCACCCACAATGCAGCAGACACTGCCTTTCTGTATCGCGCTATGTTAAGCGGAACCTGTTGGTTCTGTTGTCTTTGAGGAAAGTGGTCCAGCACTTGGATTTGGTTATGACGCAGAATGAAGAAAATCTTCACGTAACAGACAAATGAGGTGACGAGACAAACAGATAAGGCTACCTTGACGCACCATGACGTCACAATAGGATCCCAAAGGTAGGTCAATATAACCACAATGGACAAAATCCAACCAACAATTAGGGTCATGAGTGTTCTTTTCAAAGTTACAACTTGTCTGTATCTCAGCCCCAGTAACAGGGCGAGAAGTCTGTCCACGCTGATTACAGCCAATGTAAATAATGACACGGCACTAAAAACATAGCTCGTGAAAATAGTTAACACATCCACGTAAAAGCAAATATTCCATTTATCGCTTAGCACGGACATAAAATAGGTAACATAAACAGGCTCTGCAATCACACCAACACAGAGATCAGTTATCGCTAGGTTACGATACAGGAGTTTGGACGGTGGATGAAGTGAAGATTCTTTCTTTAGAGCGACTAGGATCAGAGTGTTCCCTAGAAATGCAGTAATGGATACAGAAATATTAACCACCAAGAGAAAGATTAGCTCGTGTTTTACTTCTGAAGTTAACTCTGCCATGCACCACGATTCCCTGTTCAATTTCTCCAGGATTTTATTTTCTGCAAAATTTGTTGCTTGAGCCATTTCTCTGTAGGAGGAGCCGTTGAGAGTAAGCTGTCTGTTTAAAAAGAAAATCATGATTTTTTTTCTGGTAATGAGGAAAGAAGATTGATTATCACTACTGATATGCACTTCCTTATAGTTAGCAATTTCTATGCTGTTTATTTACCGTTAAAAAACCCGTCGCTTGAGTATTTTATTGCATGAATGGAAGATTTGAGAATGTATCACGAAACTCCATGTTAGCATTAAGGACAGCAACAAATTAGTTTCATTGAAGTTTCGCCATTAATTATTTCCTGAAAATTTGAGACCGAAACTTTACCCCCATACAAACACGGTAATTTTACCATATATACCTACCGTGTTACAAGCATTGAGGGTGGGTTACCTGTGGTTTTGTGGTGTGACTGGTTATTGCCAAGATGGCGGATTGATCCCGAGACCAAAACAATTAAAAAGGAAAACTGAAACAAACACAAAAAGGCGAAATAAAACCAGAATATATTTAAACAAATTCACCGAATATTTTGGTTTGTTAACTCTCGAGAAGGGGTCGCGAGATCACTTGCCGGCTTTAGTAAACTTCATATCGTCAAAGCAAAGGCTAACAAGAGATGGAGATAAAACACACACAACGGAAAATGTCTGCATGACATCTGTAACCTGCGTCGCAGACGTTATTTAACTTCGTCTGCGGCAAAACATAAACTTCCAAAGATTAATTTGCAATTCTGAATAAAAAGGTTCCTACGGAATGATTTAAGTTCATAATCTATTTTTCTTTTTTTTCTGATATTTAACCCTCTACTTACCCCTAGTTCTTTTCCCCTGTGTGTTTCACTTTGTTCACCTGCTTGCCACCGAAAATAAATACCAAAAACTGTCCACTGCTACCGCCTTTTTAGCCAAACTTATAAAATTTCATGCAAGAAACTCTGTTTGATAATAGACCAATTTCGACGTATCTCAATTAATACTTGGAGTCGATACTTTAGAATATAAGAAGATATATCATTCATCCCTGAATTTCTAGGTTATTTTTTTTTATATATTCCCCTAAGCCTGAATATGGTCTGTCAACAGAAAATATTGATTAGGAACCTTTTTTGAGTTATCACAGTTTAGTTCCTGAGCGCGATTTGAAAATGAGAAGGATACATTATACATATTTTCAATACCTTCTTTTCATTTATCGGTATTCAGTTTTAAATGTGCTTTAATCTTTAATTTGTTCAACAGAAAGCGTGAAAGAGATTCAAACTCTGTTTACCTCGATTTATGTAAAGTTCCGCCTTCAGAGCATCTGCCTTTTCCTCGGCAATTTCAGGATATGTTAAGGGTGTTTCTTCTGGCAGATAATCTTCAAAAAGTAGTTGTCATCCGTCGAATTGTATTTTTGCACATATTCTTGTATATTTTAGGGCATTAGCTCAGCTGTTTTGTCTTCGCTTTACGAGTGAAATCTTCTGCCACTTTTTCTAACTATGCGACGGCCAAAACAGCTTAGCGCCGCGCCGCCGTCTGTCCCTTTTCCTGTCAATCACCCGAAAAGAAGACGACACTTTTGTGGATATCTACAAACATCTTCCAAAGTTGGTCAATGCTAGCAGGTTGTGAAGACATAGCCGGGTAATTTTAGCCAATCAGAATTGTGAGAAGTGGCGAGACTGTTCTGTTTTAATTTGTGTTTAGCAGCTCAAATGTCTTCCGATTTGGGTTGCATATATGGTTCACTCAGCTAGAAAATAAGGCTTGTAGTCTTTCGAAACTTTATTTAGAATGTGAATGTGAATATGAATCCTGACAATTGGGAAGGCGTTTTTGAGCGACGTACCTTAATCGGAGGTGAGGCCTTCTACCTTTTAAATTTGTATTGGTACCTTTCTTTACCTTCATAGAGACGATTTGCCAAAACGTTTGGACAAAACAGCTACCTGTAAGAACTCACACGCAGAAACTTCAATTCCGATTGCCGTCCGTGGCTTAAAAACGCCGTTAAGGTCTCACTCATGTCCCTTGTATAAACTGCTTACACTATCAAAACTCGGAATGCGAAAACTTTCCTCTTTCCTTTTTGAGTTTATAATTCAGTGGTCTGCTTCCTCATTATAAGCCTTGACTCGATAAAGTTCGCCCTTTATGATCAGGCCGTGGAGGAGGATCAAGATCTCAAACGACGTAATAAGAAATATCACGCAATCTGCGAAAATAGTACTGCAGTGCTTGAATAATAACATAGAGGATCCTTTCTTTAACTTGAAGTTTCGTACGCTACACCATACGTCTTTGACGACATAACGACATTCAAGTGTGAGAAAGATGAGAAACTATTTAATGCGAAAGAACAAAGCTACAAATGATGGGATGTTCTGTCGTGAATTGTAATTCGTCTAATAACTGCCGTAAATTGTAATAACAGTTGTCGAGAAATGTAATGACCAAGCAATCGTAAATTGTAATAACACGCTGTCGTAAATTGTGATAAGCCGAGTTGTCTTGAATTGTAATAACATATTGTCGTATTTTGTAATAAGTCAGTCAGTTGGTCGGTGAGATGATTTAGTTGTTGCTATAATGCTGGCTACATAATAGCTTAAATGCTTTTGATTGACAAGAAAATTTCAGTATGTAAGCCCTTGACATTAAGAAGTATTGCAAAATACGACAATGTGTTATTACAATTCACGACAGCTAGGCATGTTACAAATTACGACAACGTTTATTACAATTTACGATAGCTTAGTTGTTACAATTCTCGACAACTGTTATTACAATTTTCGACAGGTATTACAATTCACGACAGTATTTCAATTCACGACAAAACATGGGACAGATGTCTTACACATAGAACATCAAGCAAATAAAGATAAAGTTCTTTGATGCTAAAATTTTTGATCGGTTTTACGGCGGTAACCAATTACACGCGGCCTCAAAAAGTTAATTTCCTCTCATTTCAAACCTGAGTTTTCGCGGACGTCAGTCAACTAGTTTCTATGGTTTCCTCACGAACTTCTCGCTCATCGATTCTAGATCTGTTTGAAGAGCGAAGACTTGCAAGAATATTTTCTCCGGTATGATCAAGGCGTTTCAAGTTGATGACCTGTGGATAGGGGAAAGCCCAATCGGACTTGAGATAGCTGGTTTTCTACGAAAACTATGTAAGTAGTGCGTTCACATAGGGCATTGTGTTAATAAAAAAATAGAAAAAAAATGAACAGAAGAACATTAATTTGTTAGACTATTTAATTCTTTTTATTTAACGCTCTATTAAAATTTTAGGGTAAAGGCCTATTGCTTTAAGGGGGATAGACTTTGAAGGTAAAATTTGAAGTGGACAGACAGACAGGGGGCGAATAGGTCCGTTGTCAAAAGGGGAGAGCCCAAATCAGAAATTAAAGTTACAGATTCAATAATTAAGTGTAAAAGGAGTATGGGATTTAGACAATGAAGAGGTAGGCTTGGAGCCAGCCATCTTTGAAAGAATGCGTAGTAGTTCACTCAAAATTGTAACTGTTAGTGTAATCCAGTCTTTCCCGTGACTGTTTGGAGAAAAACATATGAATTTAAAATGACCAATTGGCAGAGGTAATACCCTTTAAATTCTTAACATTCTTGTTAATTTCTCGGATTTTCACAACTCGCGGATTTGTTAGCCTCCTAAGGTTAGTAATGTGCTGGAGAAATTCTTGAACTTTTCCGATGCCCTGCTATTTTAAATATTTTTCGTTTTGAGGGGGGAAGTTGATGGAATTTGGATTCTGCCAATAAACTCAACAATATGATCGACGTCATAATGTGGTCAAGTTACGCCATTGTGTCAACCAAGTCATGCCTATAGATGTTGGAAATGATGATTATATTATATTGTTTAATTTAGCTGGCCGTATCATGAGCGGTTATGCAGTTATAGAGGGGGTGAAGGCGGGGCGGAGCTCCGGAAGCAAAAAAAGGCTGGTCTAATTAGGGTTAAGTGTCGTATAAGAAGGCCTTTTCTCCTCAGTTAACATAACCGACACATTCTAAAAGTCTTATTATTCTCATCAATATCATCATCTCATAATAATAAATAATAATAATAATGATATTTATAGAGGGAGCCCAACTCGCCAAGGCGGTTTTCAGTGGGGCCCTCATGCATAAATCTAACTAATTAATTAATTAATTATTACGAAAAAGTAAATTATGTTTACAAGTAAAACAAATTTAAAAATTTAAAATCTTAAAATCGATTATACAAAAAATATCAAGGTTTAAAAGTTAGCTGAGATCGTTTAAAAAAGTTTTTAACTTGGATTTAAAAATAGATAAAATATTACACTCTTTTAAATCATTTGGAAGGCTGTTCCAGTCTTTCGCGGCGTGAAAAATAAAAGTTTGTTTACCCCAGTTTGCTCATCTAATGAGCAATAGCGGATTGGGAGGAGGCGAGACTTCCTTTCCCCCATCGCTATAAACAGGAAGACCTTAGATAACAACGACCTCAACCAGGTTGTGACGTCCAGCGGATTTAGTGAAAACAAGGGTTTGGGTGAAGGGGTGCTCAGTCTCGCTGGCTCATAAAACCTGCTCTCGGTGGTTCTTATCAAAGGAGCTGTGTCACGAAAATTCAGACAAATTAGGTAATTACAAAATGTCCGTTAAATTAAGAGAAACATAAAAATAACCGCTTAAAACATTAAAGGAAGGTTAAAATAACACGACAGATACAGCAGATGCCACGGATGAGCAGAACTGAAGAAGATTGAAATGGATTGAAATTAGGGTTTTTGACAACTGTTCAGCCTAACAGTTTTTCAAAGTTGATCACTGCTGTTTGCAACTTCAAAAATAATGCCCAGGAGACATATTTGTTTGTCTTGAATCTCTGATTTTGTCATTTACATGTAATTTCTTTACTTACTTTAAGTTCCATAGCGGTTGAGGGCGAGTAATCGGCAAAATTAATTATAAACAAAATGAACTGGACTGCCGTGACACAGCTCCTTTAAAGCATTTTCCTATAAACAGGGCGCCCACTTCTTTAGTAATGACATTTGAAACCAAGGTGGCCGCTCGTTACAGCAAGCGGTCGATTTTAAGGGAAAATAGGAGACGGGAAACAGTCTAGAAACGCGGCTATTTTTGTGGTGCAATATTAAACGACACCATGCCCCTACTTCTTTACACTTTTTACCTCTCTGGTTACTAGTTTTAGAAGTTAGAACCGAACCATCCAAGCGTAGGCTTTTACATTGGCTTTTATAGATTGTGCTTGCAAAAGTGGCATAATATGCAACTAGCGCTAGCACTGCTCTTATATTTCTAAAATTATGTCAATACCTATGTTAGTTTTTGTAAATTATGCTCATTTTAACAAAAAATGCAGAAATTGAGCTTCTACTATAAATGGCAAACAAACACTGGAGAATGTGTAATTCATTTTCTGACAACTTTGGAATGTCAAACAATTTACAACACACGCGGACGCCATCTTGGGCAACTGACCTAGTTTTGCGCATGCATTGAGTATTGTAGAAAAAAATATCCTCGTTCACTTACTGTGGGAAAGAGGTTCCATGAATGTGACAAAACCAGAGAAAAAATTCATTTTTTTACTTAAAAGTGCCTGTGACACTGATCTCGGGCCAAAAATATTGGCTGTATGATCAATGACAATTTTAGCCAGAAGTGCAAATTATTCCAGCAGTGCTTTTTTTGCAAAAAAGGGTGAAGTTATGCTCGTGATGACAAAGTATGCCGTAAATTATGGTAGCACAATCTGTCAAAGCCTAGCCCATGAACTATTTCACGTAAAAGATTTATGCATTCTAAATTAGAAGATGCGGCAGCTCAAGCGTTTTGTGTCAAGCCCACGTAAATTACACGAGACATTCTTAAATCTAAAAAATCCGCTAATATTATATACGGTGCGCACTGGTTGAACAAGCACTTGTGCAACATAATTAACGATCAATGAAACTGTTACGTTGATCTAAAGATTGGATATCAGTCAGCTGTATTTTAAACGATCTGATATGACACAGACTTTGAATAGTTTAAAATGGATCTAAATAACTAATAGCTATAAATAATACATAGTGTTCTCCATTTCATTAGCCTCGACATTACCAATACCCTTAAAAAGAGGACTACAAAATTTCAAAAGAAGAGGACTTCAGTCAACTCCCTTTATTGCGGACACTGTAAGGGACCTCGAGTTAGTGTCCTCATTGGCGAGAGTCCATAGTAGCGGGAGTTTAATTATTTCAGTCAAACGTCTGTAATTTGTTTTTGCCAGGGATTTAGCTACTGTCCGTATTATCGGGTTTTCCGTTATAGTGAGGTGTCCGCAAGGCAAGAGTTGACTGTACACATATAATAAGCGTCCAATTGACGTATGATGTGATCTCTTTCTGCGCTGTATACGAACATACGAAAAACTTTCTGTGAAAACATCAAACTACTCATATCGTACCTTGAAAATTGCATGCAATAAATTCCCTCCAAAAAAGAAGATCTGTAGGCAACAACGTCCCGTAATTGACCAATAAATCTTCGCATTTTGAGTGGTCGCTTAAAGGAGGCCCGACTGTAGTCAATAGATGTAACAATAAACACTTAATGACGGGTTCTGAGGAAAAGAGTTCATTTTGTTTCTCGAAAGTCTCAATGTCTCCCGAGGCGGAGCCCTGGATATTCAATAAACCTCGCTGTAACGGAGGTCGTGGGTCAACATTCGCGGAAAACAATGCAGTTACCCTCTGACGTCATGGATTTTTGCAATGTTGCCCGCTCCGAGAGTTTGGCGGGAAACAGTTTCATCGTTAGCTTTCATGAGACCTGGAAGTAACCAATGAGAGCACGCGCTGTTGGAAAAAATTCTCCAGGTATATAACAATCTAATTTGGCGATGAACATAAAAGTTCTCTCATGGTATCCTTTACGGCTTGCCTTATTCCTCTAATCTTCCAACAGTACAGCAAGGGGTTTAAAGAGGAGTTTAAAAGAACTAAAGTACGGGTAAATTCCCTTGCAAGGTGAAACGATAGTGACATCCCTCGCTGATGTTTCAAAGCTTCGGTTATAAGGATCGGTAGGTAAGAAACAACCAATGTCATCTGCACCCACAATGCAGCAGACACTGCTTTTCTGTATCGCGCTATGTTAAGCGAAACCGGTTGGTTCTGCTGTCTTTGAGGAACGTGGTCCAACACTTGGATTTGGTTATGACGCAGAATCAAGAAAATCTTCACATAACAGACAAATGAGATGACGAGACAAACAGATACGGCTACCTTCATGTACCACGACGTCAGAATAGGATTCCAAAGGTAGGTCAATATACCCACAATAGACAAAATCCAACCAACAATTAGGGTCATGAGTGTTCTTTTCAAAGTTACAACTTGTCTGTATCTCAGCCCCAGTAACAGGGCGAGAAGTCTGTCCACGCTTATTACAGCCAATGTTAGTAAAGACACGGCACTAAAAAGAACGCCCGTGAAAAAACTTAACAAATTCGAATAAAAGCAAATATCCCATTTATCGCTTAGCACGGACATAAAATAGGCAACATAAACAGGCTCTGCAATCATACCGACACAGAGATCAGTTATCGCTAGGTTACGATACAGGAGTTTGGACGGCGGATGAAGTGAAGATTCTTTCTTCAGAGCGACTAGGATCAGAGTGTTCCCCAGAAACGCAGTAATGGACACAGAAATATTAACCACCAAGAGAAAGATTAGCTCATGTTTTACTTCTCCAAAAAACACGGCCGTGCACCGAAGTTGGCTGTTCAATTTCTCCAGGCTTTTATTTTGTGCAAAATTTGTTGCTTGAGACATTTCTCTGTAGCAGGAGCCGTTGAGAGTAAGCTGCCTGTTAAAAAAAAAAATTATGATTTTTTTTCTCTTAATATTATGAAAGAACATTGATTGTCACTACTGATATGCGCTTCCTTATAGTTAGCAATTTCTATGCTGTTTATTTATCGTTAAAAAGCCCGTCACTTGAGTATTTTATTGCATGAATTGATTGAGAATATATCACGGAACTCCATGTAAGCATTAAGCGCTTCAACAAATATTTACAGCAGAGTTTAGTTTCATTGAATTTTCGCCATTAAGAGTGATTTTCTGTAAAATTCGGACTTCGGCCTGACACGGTACCTCATCGATTTGGCTGATTTTCGGCATGTAGTCTTAGAATGGTGTCCTAAATACTGAATACATATTCTAAGGTTCGAATTCTCTTTGGTTTCAAAGATACAGGAATGACAGTTTTGACGAGGCCTCGAGGGGCCGCCATGTTGGTGAACTGAAGGAGATTTACAGTAATTAATTCTAGCCTTATCATGAACATAACTTAATCGTGACTCATACAGTTGCAAAGAACTATCCTTCCTCTTCTCATTTACCTACTCTTATCTGAAAATGGTTGAGCCTGAGCTACGAACGGCTATAACTTCTCACAGCACTTTTTCGGTACTTAAAAAGTACACAAATTTGGTTGAAATTGGAAGGTCAATATCACCCATGCCACATCGATTTAGACTAAGCCATTTTAGATAAACATAGTTTTTTTTATAGATAAGTCAGATTGTTGAATAAAATAATTGGGCAAATGCAACGGAGCAGAAATATAATTGCATGAATGCGCAATGGTTCAGCCACTTGGCTGCTAAAACTTCCAAACAAAATTCGGTGAATATTTGAAAAGAAAATTCTTTAAAAATTGATCGTGCCTCTTAAAGCCCATCTGTCGCTTAAAAAACCCTCCCTTGTCGGTAATGTAAAAGGATGATCTTTTGATTCTGATCTTGCGAAGAGCTTGAAATATGCGCTAAAGTGAAAATTATAAATTTTGTTACACACGGTACTAGCTCAAGTTCGCTCTTCGATTTGCCAGACCAGTAAGGAGCCGCTCGTGTACTGTACAGTTACAATTTTCTCTGTAGTATTTCGCTGTATACAGCTACAAATTATATATTGTCTTAGGCAAAGATAACGCAAACGTTGTCAATTTTTATCAAAAGGCTAGAAAAACAAACCGTGCACTGCAGCTTTATGCAAATTATATAGTATTCCATAATTACACGTGTAAACGGGAACCTACCTTTGCTAATGTACACTGTTTGGCAGATCTTTCCAGCGTAAGATATAAAACTAGTACATGAAATGAATATAAAGAACTCATCAAGTCAAATCACCTGATCGTACCGTCATTTCTGAATAATAAATCCGAAAAATATGACACGGAATGATCGGTGGGAGACGAAGCTAACAAGGAACTGCACGCTGGAACGGAACTGAAATGAACAACCTTAATCAAGTTCAGTCTTCTTGACGCTATTAAACGTTTCACCCGACTTTGAACAGGAAGTTGTTTTTTTTATTTTCTTTCTCATTCTTGCATGTATTCTGCAGTTCGCCCAGTATTTTTTCGTAACTTTTAATTTTGTAGCAAACTGGAACGGTTAAAAACTACCAACCCCTCCTCCCCTCCACCTCTTTCAGTGAACTTTCATTCGGTCTGATTCACAATAATTTTCGAACGGTGACAAAGTGAAAATTAAAATGAACTTTTTTTTAGTATTTTAAAAAGTTCCTTTTTTTTTTCCCCATAGCCAGGAATGTTTTGAACGTAAAGGCTCAAGTGTCGGTGTTTTTTACGACTCTGCTTGTGGACTGACCTCACCACCAGTATTACATCACTGACATAAAATCTGATCCGAGAGGGTCATACAGTAACTGATGCGAAATGCAGTCACTCTGGGGCGAGTAGGCTATATAGATGATGAGATCATTGTTTAGAACTCCATGACCGTATCCCAAAAGTCGAGCCAGCCCGGGGCGAACACAATTTTGGGGCCACTGGCCACACCCTTATGTTTGGCGGGAAATTGGCTGATTAGTCAAATCTCCTTAACTCCACGACCATGCACCTTCCCAAATATTGCCCTTCTAATTATCATATAGTTAGGGCTCCCGTAAGCATTTGCAACTATTTTGATTTGTAGAAGACTGTTGAACAGTTTTCATTACTTTAATGTCTCGTAAACAACACGAGGTACATGTTCTGATTTCTCCCCCCCCCCCCCCTTCCCATCCATACCAAAAAATTTTCAGACCAACACTGAATTGCATGTAGGTATGTACAAAAATATGACCATCTCGAGGCAAGGTTCATCACTGTAACTTACCACACAAAAGCCTTTTCGTTGTTTGCCATCGACTGATTCTGTTCTGAATACTAAGGTCCCATAAACATCGCCACGTTTAGAAAGAGCCCGCCTTTTTCAATCCAAGAAAACCCAAGTAGCAATTTCACCAACGAACATAAGCCGTAAGAAAAGGACCGCGTCAAATAGTTCATAAAATCACAAACGCCTCATAACACCTTTAATTCACTCTTTCTTCGATAAACTAATTTTTAATTTTTTTTAAGCATAAATGACATCAGCATGCGCGATTATGAGCATTGTAGCTTATGAAAAGGAAATTTAACCAATGCACATGAAAGCGACTAAGACGGGGACTAGGGGAAAATAGGAACATCGTGCGTACCGCTGGAAAAATATTGGCTAGTTCTTTGAATAGACTCAATTAAAACCGTTTTTGTTCAGTAAGGAGCTGTTAGATGGGGGGAAAGCTACATAAAGTAGATCGCATCAGAATACGGCACAGGACTAGGCTCTCAAAATCGATAAGCATGCAAGACCAATTATTATGTAAAACAGATAAAAATTCCCTGAGGGAAAAAATTATGGCTAGGGGAAAGACCCGAAGGTGGAAAGTTAGGATGGTAGCTTCTTTTCAGGTAATCGATCATTTACGTTAACTTCCTCTATCCGACGGGCATATCGGAAAGACTGAAAACACCCAATGGATGAGAGTATAACACATTCAAGAAAAAACAAATTTGTGATTTTTCACAACTCAATAAAATAACTAAAAATGTGTACTACTCAGTTATACAAGATTTTTGTTTTCAATTTCAGATTTTTACGATGGGGCATTAGCCCCCATACTCACTAGTCACTACTTCACAATCATCGTGTTAAAATCAGTGAAATACTCCATTTGCATGGCGTACATTTTGAAGAACATTTGAAAACAATTTGGATTCCTACACTTATACCTTTATTAAAAATTAAAGTTGGGAAATTTGTTGTTTTCTAAAAGTAGTTTGAACAGCCGAACGACATTTTTTACACGGAGTGGGGAAGGCAAAGCTTCACTTTTCTCTTCTAAGGTAGAAAGTGTCAGCAAAACGTGAATGTCGTCCTTGAGGGTAAAGTGTCTAACCTAATTTTCTCACCGATTGCATGTGCCATTTCATCCACACATAACCTCACCTAGTTAACAGAATTAGCAAATGTAATGGGTAAACGTTACGAGAGAACTGAGTAAGAAGTTAGGGTAAGTTTTGAAAATTGTGCGCACACCTGGAAAATCCTGGCTGCGCTCCTGAAAGAGACTTTTGCTGGAGAGAAATTGAAACGTGCTCGCCAATATGGTGACGACCAGAAAGGACAAGCCATAGGATAGTTCCAGAAAACCACCCATTAAAATAGATCAGGAAGGTGTCGCGGCGGAGGTTGAACTTGAAGGCTTCTGATGAAGTGCAATTTTTCAAGGGAGCCCAGACAAGATTATGTACGATGGGCACAGCTTGTTTGACCTGGAAAATTTAGAGAACCTCAAGGCAAATCGCTAGACAACACATGCTAGAGCTGAAAAAAAGATATTTCGCTCTTTTGAACTCTGTCCGTAAGGGTAAAGGAGAAAGTTTCCCTTTATCAATGCATCAACCAAGTTGATTATGAATGTTTCCTCCTGTTGGACGTCTTACTAACGAGCACATTACCAATACTTGTCCTAAGAGGCGTTTTTGAGTTGACGAGCAGAGAAAATTAGGTTTCGACGGTCTGAAATTCAGGATGCCAGAGTGAAGACGCCTTTTGTATGATGGCGTCATTGTCCTACAGTAAAAAGCGTTCGTTTTTTACCACTGATATTACGTCAATCGGTGCACTTATGTTGTCGAAAGGTCCGTGAGCATGGTAAATGATTTTACCTTAAACTGCAGACACATCTTCAATCACTCCTTATTGTTCGCGATATTGGATAAACACTCTGATCGCTAACTGAATTTTCTTTGTTGTTTACTTTATTTTAAATTAGGACTGTCTTGAGTTGTCCATGCATTGACTAGCGATTTTAAGCTTTTTCAAGGAAAGGAAAATCTGGAATTGTCCCTAGGGTGAGGCATTTGCGCACAGTTTTAAGCCCTTCATTGGGGTGACTGTGGTTTTGTTGTCCTGAGCTCATCATGCCTCATTCTTCTTAACCCCTTCCAAACTAATTTTTCTGTTTATCAAAAAACCCTTTAAGGAAAGACAAAAAATCTCCTCAAAACGGGCTTCGTGATTGAGACAAAATACCTGAAAATTGTACTCGGAACCGTTGATAATGGTGTACAAAATAGAATGCGTCTATTTATTCCGAGCGAAGCTCGGCGCGGAGCGCCGAGCCGCGAGGTTTATAATCTTGTCGCGCGAAGCGCGCGTGTTTCCCACGAGGATCGCAAGCGCAGCGTGATTTTCTGTTTGCTGTAAATCTATCGAGTTTGGTTGGTGTCCGCCATGACGTCATACAGTAGTTGACGTCACGGCACTTTTTGTTTCTAGGCAACATTCGACTGAAAGCAATTTTCAAATTTCCATCAATGACCAAAGCACTCATGAAGAGCTGTGTTTTCATCGTCTGCAAAACAATGTTTACTATCG